TGTGCGTGTGACAGGTGCTGACAAGGCTGGAAAAGTAGGTGCCTCTTCGATTTCTGAGATCGGCCCTCGTGGTCTCTGAGCAGCCCAGCTTTTGAGAAAGCAAGCCTCTTCGATTTCTGAGATCGGCCTTCGTGGTCTTTGAGCAGCCCAGCTTTTGAGAAAGCAAACGCCTCTTCGATTTCTGAGATCGACCCTCGTGGTCTCTGAGCAGCCCAGCTTTTGAGAAAAGCAAACGCCTCTTCGATTTCTGAGCAGGCGCCTCTTCGATTTCTGAAGCTTCGTCGAGTGCAGATTTTTATAGGGGGCTGAAGGATTCTCTGGCTCTCAGTGTTCAGTGTGCAGGTTCTGTGTCTAATATGGCCCCAACGCCTATTTGCTCGAACCCGCCAAGTTGAATCATTGGCGGCTGAAGTGATGAGTCTCAAACAGGAGATTAGAGGGCTCAAGCATGAGAATAAACAGTTGCACCGGCTCGCACATGACTATGCTACAAACATGAAGAGGAAGCTTGACCAGATGAAGGAATCTGATGGTCAGGTTTTACTTGATCATCAGAGATTTGTGGGTTTGTTCCAAAGGCATTTATTGCCTTCGTACCGCGTAATGAAGCTCCAAATGATCAACCTCTGATGCCTCCTCCTTCTAGGGTTTTGTCGAGTACTGAGGCTCCGAATGATCCCCCTCCGGTGCCTTCTCTTTCTGGGGCTCTACCGACTGCTGAGACTTCTCCTAAGCAACCTTTGTGAAGGCTCCCTCTTGTTTGTTTATTTTGACTCATGTATATGTACATATTTGTAACTTATCGGGGATATCAATAAATAAGCTTTCCTTCATTTCAACGTATTGTGTTAAATACACCAAAGCCTTCTTCGCTAAGTTCTTTGAATTTTCTTTTGTTGAAGCTTGTATGTTGAAGCTTTGTGAGTGGAGCATGTAGGTTGAGGTAGTGTTCCCTTAATTTCCCGAGTGAGGAAAACTTCTCGGTTGGAGACTTGGAAAATCCAAGTCACTGAGTGGGATCGGCTATATGAATCTTAGAACGCCATTGTGTTCTGTCCTGTGTCATGTCCTCATCGTTAGATCCAAGTACTCTAAGTCTTTTCTTAGAGTCTCTTCCAAAGTTTTCCTAGGTCTTCCTCTACCCCTTCGGCCCTGAACCTCTGTCCCATAGTAGTCGCATCTTCTAATCGGAGCGTCAGTAGGCCTTCTTTGCACATGTCCAAACCACCGTAACCGATTTTCTCTCATCTTTCCTTCAATTTCGGCTACTCCTACTTTACCCCGGATATCCTCATTCCTAATCTTATCCTTTCTCGTGTGCCCACACATCCAACGAAGCATCCTCATCTCCGCTACACCCATTTTGTGTACGTGTTGATGCTTCACCGCCCAACATTCTGTGCCATACAGCATCGCCGGCCTTATTGCCGTCCTATAAAATTTTCCCTTGAGCTTCAGTGGCATACGGCGGTCACACAACACGCCGGATGCACTCTTCCACTTCATCCATCCAGCTTGTATTCTATGGTTGAGATCTCCATCTAATTCTCCGTTCTTTTGCAAGATAGATCCTAGGTAACGAAAACGGTCGCTCTTTGGTATTTCTTGATCTCCGATCCTCACCCCTAACTCGTTTTGGGCCTCCATTTGCACTGAACTTGCACTCCATATATTCTGTCTTTGATCGGCTTAGGCGAAGACCTTTAGATTCCAACACTTCTCTCCAAAGGTTAAGCTTTGCATTTACCCCTTCCTGAGTTTCATCTATCAACACTATATCGTCTGCGAAAAGCATACACCAAGGAATATCATCTTGAATATGTCCTGTTAACTCATCCATTACCAACGCAAAAAGGTAAGGACTTAAGGATGAGCCTTGATGTAATCCTACAGTTATGGGAAAGCTTTCGGTTTGTCCTTCATGAGTTCTTACGGCAGTCTTTGCTCCTTCATACATATCCTGTTATAGCTTGGATATATGCTACTCGTACTCCTTTCTTCTCTAAAATCCTCCAAAGAATGTCTCTTGGGACCCTATCATACGCTTTTTCCAAATCTATAAAGACCATGTGTAAATCCTTTTTTCCCATCTCTATATCTTTCCATCAATCTTCGTAAGAGATAGATTGCCTCCATGGTTGAGCGCCCTGGCATGAACCCGAATTGGTTGTCCGAAACCCGTGTCTCTTGCCTCAATCTATGCTCAATGACTCTCTCCCAGAGCTTCATTGTATGACTCATTAGCTTAATACCCCTATAGTTCATGCAATTTTGTACGTCGCCCTTATTCTTGTAGATAGGCACCAAAGTGCTCGTTCGCCACTCATTTGGCATCTTCTTCGTTTTCAAAATCCTATTGAAAAGGTCAGTGAGCCATGTTATACCTGTCTCTCCCAAAACTTTCCACACTTCGATTGGTATATCGTCTGGGCCTACTGCTTTTCTATGCTTCATCTTCTTCAAAGCTACAACCACTTCTTCCTTCCGGATTCTACGATAAAAAGAGTAGTTTCTACACTCTTCTGAGTTACTCAACTCCCCTAAAGAAGCACTCATTTCATGTCCTTCATTGAAAAGATTATGAAAATAACCTTTCCATCTGTCTTTAACCGCGTTCTCTGTAGCAAGAACCTTTCCATCCTCATCCTTGATGCACCTCACTTGGTTTAGGTCCCTTGTCTTCTTTTCCCTTGCTCTAGCTAGTTTATAGATATCCAACTCTCCTTCTTTTGGTATCTAGTCGCTTTATACATATCGTCATAAGCCGCTAACTTAGCTTCTCTCACAGCTTTCTTCGCCTCTTGCTTCGCTTTTCTATACCTTTCACCATTTTCATCGGTCCTATCCTTGTATAAGGCTTTACAACATTCCTTCTTAGCCTTCACCTTTGTTTGTACCTCCTCATTCCACCACCAAGATTCCTTTTGGTGTGGGGCAAAGCCCTTGGACTCTCCTAATACCTCTTTTGCTACTTTTCGGATACAACTAGCCATGGAATCCCACATTTGGTTAGCTTCCCCCTCTCTATCCCACACACACTGGGTGATTACTTTCTCTTTGAAAATGGCTTGTTTTTCTTCTTTTAGATTCCACCATCTAGTCCTTGGGCACTTCCAAGTCTTGTTCTTTTTTTCTCACTCTTTTGATATGTACATCCATCACCAACAAGCGATGTTGATTAGCCACGCTCTCTCCTGGTATAACTTTGCAATCCTTACAAGTTATACGATCCCCTTTCCTCATTAGAAGAAAATCTATTTGTGTTTTTGACGACCCACTCTTGTAGGTGATCACATGTTCTTCTCTCTTCTTAAAGAAGGTGTTGGCTAAGAAGAGATCATATGCCATTGCAAAATCCAAGATAGCTTCCCCATCCTCGTTTCTCTCCCCAAAACCATGGCCACCATGAAAACCTCCATAGTTGCCTGTCTCCCTGCCCACGTGTCCATTTAAATCTCCTCCTATAAATAACTTCTCCGTCTGAGCAATTCCTTGCACCAAGTCTCCAAGGTCTTCCCAAAATTTCTCCTTCGAACTCGTATCCAACCCTACTTGAGGTGCGTACGCACTAATCACATTGATAAGTTCTTGTCCTATTACAATCTTGATTGCCATGATTCTATCTCCTACCCTCTTGACATCTACAACATCTTGTGTCAAGGTCTTGTCCACGATGATGCCAACACCGTTTCTCGTTCTATTTGTGCCCGAATACCAAAGTTTAAACCCTGAGTTTTCTAGATCCTTTGCCTTACGACCAACCCACTTAGTTTTCTTGTAGGCACATAATATTTATCCTTCTCCTCACCATAACTTCCATACTACTTCCATAGATTTTCCCGTTAAGGTTCCTATATTCCACGTTCCTAAACGCATTTTGCTCTCTTGAACTCTACCCTTCTGTCCTAGCTTCTTCACCCTTCCCCGTCTAATAGGATCAAAGTACTTCTTTTGTGTGTCCCGTGTAAAGTTGATAGGAGCATATGCTCCCAAACAACTTTGAGTGGAGTCGTTCGAAAAGAAGTTTCTATAGCCCCCTTGCTCATTTAACACTGCATCCGGGTGCCGATGGAGATACAGCGACCCTTGCTCACTTATCACTGTACTCAGGCCACACAGCGCGCCACTTACGGGTGACGCCCTAGCTTTAGCGCGATTTCGTTCTGGATTCATTTTCATAAGGATTCGACGTGATCATGGAGTGCCGGCTGTCGACTACCTGACGCCCTCCCCCTCCTCCTTTATCCGGGCTTGGGACCGGCAATGTAAGATAAACTTACACGGCGGAGTTCCAAAAACCAAAACATTGAATAAAAATAACCCAATACCTTAAAATCGATATGAGGATAGTTTCTGGCGAGCTGTCGAGCGATGAGCTGAGCGGTCTCCTGGCCCTTGACCCGAGAGACCTTGATGATCCACCATTGCGGGCCCTCATGAGCGAGATTATTAAGGTTGAGCTCCTCCTTCCAATTGGCGAACTTCTTCGTGGGCTTCTCCAGAAGCTTCTCCTCCACCTCCTCTTTCCAGCTGGTGCCGGTTTTGCTCTCTCTCCTCTCGTTCCTGAGCTGCCTTCTCTCTCTGGCTGTGAGTTGTTGGGTGGTGGCGGTGGCGGTGGCGGGTTCTGATTCTGGTTCTAGAGTGGAGGAAATGGAAACTGGGAATTGGGTGTTTTTGGTAGTGGGGAAAGCAAGGGGGAGTGCGAAGATGGAGGTGGGAGATAGAGAGTGGTGGCAAGGACTCCATGGGAGAAGTCCTTGTGTCATCCTCAAGCTTCAGAGCGTTACAGAGAGAGGAGATAACAAGGAGGGAGTTGTGGATTCTACGTCCCTTTGGATTTATGTCTGGATTTGTAGATGGCCCAGAATTTAGTTTTGGGCCGTTTTATGATTTGTTGGGCCCCATGAGCCCAATGAGCCCAACCAAGCTTGGAACTTTTTATCCTTCGTCCCCAAAATTTCAAAAACTCGCGCGGTTTCTGTTGTTCCATCTCCCTCCTCTCTTTTCCCTAAAACTCCCTCCTTAAAAAGGCTCTCCCATTTTCTCTTTCCTCAGATCTCAACCTCTCCTTCTCCTTCTTCTTCCTCCTCGCTTCCATCCGAGCCCTAGTTTTCCACCGCATCTCTCAATATTCAGAAAATGGGGAAGCAGTCCAAAGGCAAGAAGTCTGAGAATTTGGGTAAGGGAAAAGTCACCCCCGTCCAAATCGCCTTCATCGTCGACCGATACCTCTGCGACAACAACTACTCGGAAACCCGCTCTCTTTTCAGAACCGAAGCTTCGTCCCTCATCGCCAAATCGCCGATTCGAGAGGTACCCACTTGGTTTTTCCCGACGATTTGTTCGAAATCGGTCTGAAAGATTTCTTATTTGTCTGAATTGGGATTTGGGTTTTTCTGATTTATGCAGGCACCTAAGAGTTTGCTGAGCTTGGCGGAGATTTTGGACGAGTACATACTGTTGAAGGAGCAGAAGGTGATTTTGGACCAGGAGAAGGTCCGGGTGGAGCAGGAGAAGACCCGGGTCCAAACCCTGCTGAAGGGGATGCAAAGCGTGATGAACACTTACAATGCCGGCGGAAGTCCCGCAGTCTCTGCACCTCCTGCTGTGGCTCCGAAGCCGATGCTTATGGCTACTCCGTCTCACCCGTCTAATGGGTCCGCTGCAGGTACAATCCTAAGCCTCCCCGTCTGGTTGTTTGCTTTGTGTTTGAAAAATTGCCTGAATGAATTGAGAAATCTTGTGGAAGTTGCATGTTTAGAGAGCTTATATGCTTCAACTTGAACTCGTAGACTATACATTTATTTGCCTTAACTAGTTATTTGAACCATTGATGGCTACAATGTACAATTGCAGGTAATATCTTATTGTTTTTGTTTGTGTTTGAGAAATTTGTTGCATTCATTGAGAATATAGAGAAAGTTGCATGTGACTTTTGAGAGCTTAGATGCTTCAACTTTTAGGCGTTTCGATTTCTTTGCCTTAAATATTTGAACCCTTTTGAGGGTGTGATAAATTAGCAAAAACCCACAAGAATAATCGCTCTATAAGCTATGAATTCAACATGGTTTACTTTTTGTTTTCCGGCGCCTTTTGATTGGGTCTTTTAATGCACCAAACACCAGTTGCTCCTGTGTCAACACCTTCCAACCCCAACATGAGGCCTGGGAATTTCTGCTCGCCAATTACAGTTGACCCACCTACAACTAAGAGAAAGAGTTCTAAGGTTCCCGTGGATGGTTTGAATGCTGCTAAGAGATCTTGCAGCAAATTACCTGCTGGCAAGAGCAATATGCACAACAAAGGTATATGACTGTGCATGTTCTTCAAAGTTGTGCTGCTCTTAATCTGTTTTATATCATTAGGTGTTTATTTTCCTTGAACTTTAAAATGAGCAGGAGAACAAGCGGTTTCAGGATCAGGTGATGCACTCGATAATAAAAAATCTGCCCAATCCTCTTTGGCTGTTCACCCATCACCTCACGATTTGGTTCCCAATGGCTCCACCGTGGCTAAATGCTTGTTCAACCAGCCATCATTTTCTGTCCCAACTAATAACTCTGGTCCTCAGACACCTCAGCGAGCAAATTCAATTCAAGTCAGCAAGTCTACACCTTTTGAGATTTCTTCCACTGCTACTTGCAGTTATAATTCTCCTCCAGATGTAAATCCAACTTGCACCATTTTTTCTTCAAAGAGAGTGACTCTGAGCCCAAACAAAGCTTGCTACACTGTGGAAACAAACCATTGCATTTCTTCACCTGCCAAGACAAGTAAGAGGGAGTCCCATGTAAAGGGGAGGCTCAATTTTGACTGTTCTGATGTGCCAATGGGCTTGGAGAAACCATCTGGCGATGAGATTTCATCACCTGAGTCTGAAAGGGAAGTTGATCTCTTTGACATTGATTTGACGAACTTTGATGCCATTGGGGCGGATTTCTCCTTCACTGAAATGTTAGGTGAATTTGATCTTCATTGTGAAGAACTTGGTCTACCAAACTTTGATGCTTCCACTGTGACGGTTTCGGGGTATTCTCTACCTTCCATACTTTACATCACAACTACTACATTATTCTCTTCACTACTTTCATTTCACTTCAATTCTCTTATGTTCTCTTCTACAAAACTCTTATAGGTCATCTTATGAATCTGCGGATGGTAACGTGGGGGCCAATCAAGTTTTGTCAGAATTTACATCAACTGTGACAGAAGTACTATCAGAGAAGGACATGAATGTGCAAGGTAATTTAACACATCTTCTATTGCCATAAAGTTTGCAACCTGTTCATCCATCTTGAATATCTAACAAGTTATTTGTGGTTGTTGCAGGATCTGATTCCTTGACTGCGATGAAGTCTGTGACAAAATGTATTAGGATTATAAGCCCTGGTAAATTCACCATCTTCTCTTATGTTTCCCTTCCATTTGCATTCACAAGTCTAGAATTACTAATTCGCATGCTTTCACAATTGCAGTGAAAAATCGCGGAAGCTCTCAGGATTAGGAGAATTGTATTGCAACGATCTGACTGTTTCTGGGAATGACTGTTAGGCTGACATGGTACTGGACTTCCTGCAGAAGCTTTCTAATTGTGTTAACAATTCAACAACTTAGAGTTGCTGTATCATTAGATAACTCACGGTGTGAGTCTCATGCTCCTTAGAAATACATGTAATTTTGTAGTTAATACGCTCTGGTTGCAGTCCTGGGCTTACGTAGGCTAATGGCTTGTACTTGGTTCCGTTTCATGTAAGTCTCTCTCCTCGAACATGAAGGATTGTTCATATTTAACAAGGTCTGCTTTTGACTTTCATAATTTCAGCAAAAACAAAATATAAAGTCGAAGTCTCTTTAGTTCATTGTTCTTCTTGAGAAAAAGTTCTCATACAACTTTATCTTCACAAAACAAAATTAAATCTCTTTGTTGTCATGCTGATCATGCTAAGTACTTCTCCAATTTCTCCACCTCATCCACGCTTCCGATGTAAAGCGGAACACGTTGATGGATCTGCAGAAACAAAAGTAGAAATTGTAGTCAATCAATTTACAAGGTGAGCTGCGGAAACTCACAACCATTATAGGAATTGTACTCACCTCAGTTGGTTCAATGTCAAGTACTCTGGAACTGCCATCGGACCCTTTCCCGCCAGCTTGTTCCACTATAAAGCTCATTGGTGCACACTCATACAACAGCCTCAGCTTCCCATTCTTGCTCTTCTTGTCTCTAGGGTAACCATAAATGCCGCCATAGAGCAGCGTCCGGTGGAAGTCACCAACCAAGCTGCCAATGTACCTTGCAGAGTAGGGCTTGCCACTAGGACCTGGGTCCTTAAGATCATCAATGTACTTCTTCAACTTGTCATCCCACATCTGATAGTTCCCTTCATTGAATGAGTAAATTTTTCCGGCTTTTGGAATCTGAATGTTTTCTTGAGTCAAGACGAATTCTCCGTACATGGGGTCCAAGGAAAATGCAAAAACACCAGTCCCAATTGTGAGCACAAAGATCACAGAGCTTGAATACATGCAGTAGCCAGCAGCAAGTAGGTTGCTTCCTGGCTGGCACACGCTCACTACACATTTCTGTTCCACACTATCAAGCTGCAATGCAACATTGAAGCATTCCAACCATTCAATTGCGAAAATTGGGGAAAACCCTAGCCGGATTACTACGTTTCACATTAGAGAACTTCCGTGCAATGGAAATGCCATTGTGAGATCTTAAGTCAATTACGCACCGTTATTTGAGAAAGTTAAAATACATGACAATACGTGATTGACTTGAAATACCACTACAATGAGATTCCCGTGGCAAGTGTATCTCAAGTTATCAACTTATGTGACATATAACATGACATTTGACAGTTCCTTATCCGTTATCAATGAATGAAATTTATGACCAAATGAAACATTGTCGTATTAGTGGACTTACGGTTGAGTCCTCTTCAATGTGTGCAAAGCATTCATCATTCGGGCTGTATATTCCGAAGATGGATCCAGTGGAGACAGCAGCATCAATGTTGGATGATCCATCAAGTGGGTCAAACACCACAATGTAGTTGCCGGAATAACTCTCTTCCACCGCGACTGGCACATCCTCTTCCTCCGATGCTATAATCCCTGTCCTTCCGCTTGATCTCAGGCAATTTGAGAAAACCTGTTTGTGCAGTTTGTGCTACATGATCAAACTCTCTATTTATGAAGGTGGGCCGACTCAAACCATTTTATTGATTGTGACCAAAACAAAATTGCTAATCCGTTGTAGTCTAGTTGGTCAGGATATTCGGCTCTCACCCGAAAGACCCGGGTTCAAATCCCGGCAACGGAATTGTTTTTGTGCCTTTATTAGATTTTACTAAAACTCTGCCTATTTTTTCTCTTTGTTAAGGAACATTTTTGTTTAATTTTGTCCTTTTTTTTTCTCAGATAAATACCAAAACCATCACCAAATTGATTAGTAATTTGAACTCAATGAGAGGGAATTAGAATTTGAGTGTTAAATGACAAACATATTGTCTTAGCCAATTGACTGAACTCACGTCTGTATTTCAGTTAAGACTTAGAAGAAGCACAAACCTCGTTGGAGACAACATCAAGTTTCTTCTGGTCCTCTCCTTGGATATTAACCGCACCCTGAATCCCAGTCAAGTTGGAAATGCTAGCCCTCTGCACCAAAGAAGCAATCTGCTTGCACGCCACCGAAATGCTAGAGAGCACGATGGTCAGCTCGGCATCGATCACCCCGGCCTGCTCTTGCATCAGCAGCCAGCTCGTCAGCGTCTGAATCTCGTACCCGCTCTTTTTCTTCGGCTCTGTTGTCTCCGCCGCTACGGCCATGCACCTAACCCCGTCAGCCGCATGCCTCCTCTTGTTGTAAGTTAAGTTAGGGCACGAGACGACTGTTTTGGACCCCAACACACATTGTTGGAGAGAAGAGGTGTTACAGAGAGACCGGGAGCTTGAGCATAGGAGTTGGGACGACGGTGAAGTTAACGTTGCTGCAACCATGATTTGGTGTTTCTGATTTTTGCTCTGATTTTTCTTTTCAGTGTCTGATTTTCTGGTTTTTTTGTTTTTTTTTAGTTGGATTGTGTGTGTGGGATTTGTGAGGTTGGCAACAATTTCTGATATTTTTCTTATTTTATTTTGGGTCCCACTTATCTTGCTTTTGTAATGTTTGGTATTGCGATCATGGTTTCTTGGAGGAGGCCAATAGGGGGAGGGAGATAACAAATAACAAGTGGGAATTCAATTTGGGTTGGATTTGATGTTTGGTTTAGGTCGTTAATCAACTCCATTAAGCCTAATTGCTAATGATTGTGGGCTTTAAAACCTAGGCTCAGGAACCTTGATCCCCAAGTATTTGGATTAACTTAAATTTATAACAAGGTGTAGCGGCAAGTTTTACTTTGGAGCTCTTAGCAATTTGCATAAAGCTTGGTTTCACCGCACAAGTGACCCAGATTTGGCAGAAGGGAAGACCTCTAGGCTAGATTTACATGATCTTATTATTGGCAATGACGAAGTGTTATGGGAAAAGATGGTGAATATCTTTGTTGGTTCTTGGAAATGAAGGTTATAGGTTCTCATAATCTCGTATTCTGTTCTCTTAGTGACCAAAGAATGCTTGATCACTCATCCTTAGATTTAACAATAAAAGTGCAGAATAAGTAGATGTGCTATTGATATGTTAATCTCAACATTTGATATCAAATCTAAATGTGAGTGACCACGACTTCTTATTCATCAAGTGATCAAGAGAACGTGACTCATCTTGTATAAACAGAAAACAAAATTTGTTTGGTACTATTCAGCTAAAGAAAGACAGAGAAAAATAAAAGGCGAAAGGGATTTGCTATCAATTTTTGGCATGATTTGGCGGGAACTTGAAACCTCAAATGATATTTAATTTCTGAAAATTTATTTGGAACTTTAATGTCAAAAAATAAATACACAAATTTTGCTTTAATAATATGAAGTAGCAAACGGAGGACAACTTAAGCAATAACTTGGCAATTCTTTTTTATCTATGATTTAAAAAATTAGAACTGAACAACTTTGCAGATGGAAGACCTCTATCATGCATATATATTGATTGTATAATTCTCTCTCCCTAATTCCATTTAACTATGACAAATCCTTTCCTTGATGTGATATACTACCCTTCTTCTCCTTTTTATTTTCCATACATCGATATTCTTTCCTTCAATTCCACCTTTTGGACATTGCAGACAATATTAATTAAAAGAGAAAAAAAAAAGGGAGCAGTACAATCAATGACAAGGTGGAGATTCTTTTCTTTACCCTCTTAAGGGCATCACACACTGTTATTTAGCCACGGATATGTATCTGTGCATTTGTGCACCAGTAGATGGCGTATTGGTGTCCATATGGATTATAGCTCAGTGGAAAAAGATGATGTGATGCATGTCGGAAAAACAGATGCAGCGATCTGCAATCCAAATTACCTTTGGAAGAGAGCCACCAAAACCACATGTAGTGCGGTAAGGATCAATAGAAACCTAGGCGGAGGACAGTGACTATGCATTAGGAGATGCACGGTGGAGAAATTTTTTCTTGTGACCGGAATATAGATGGTACACCACGTATTTTTATGAAAGTGGTGGAAAATTTTATTTTTTAAGTTATTAACATTTTAAGCTTTGACACTGAAAATAGAGTGTGAATAACCTAAAAGACACTTTTGGAATTAGTGTGAATAGCCATATTTTTTTACTAGTAATTATAAACTTAGGGAGTACTTTTGGGGAACACTTTTGCTTGCATTCCTTATCCGATCGTGAGCATCACTACTATATTAGTTGTCATAGACAGGTTTAAGTTTTGAAATCTGTTGAGTAAAGAGAATAAATTACACTCGTCCGACGGTACTTGACCGGGTGGTGATGCTCAAGGCATGCAGCATGAGGTTATAATACTTCATTCATACTTCTTTTTGGGTCAATAGACTCAAGTCACTCAATACCTTACATCTCAAAAAGTATAATCTTTGACCCGTGTGAGTAAATTCGCAGCAATGATCTGGTGTTCTGGAAATCATCGGAACCTAATTTATTGGCTTGTTTCGATTAGTTATTTCTCTAAACAGCGACACGACATGGCATTCACATGAAAATTACCGAGAAAAAACAAGACGACATTCATTCATAAAGATCTAGACTTTCCATTGAAGCCGAGTGAACCATTCAGAAGTTCACGCGTGGAACCCTAGCTGTCGTTTAATGTACACAAAGGAAATTAACTTCACCGCCAAGATGACGACTTTCGGTTTAGCCATCAACATATTCATGGTTCGAGATGGCTTGTTCGCGACGTTAATATGACCTAGTCCAAATCAAATGGAATTTATAAGTTGTAAAGCAAAAATATTGGAAACGCACAGCATGGGTACATGATATTTCTATTTTGTTAATTTATTACAAGTGTCGAAAAGTCAAATTCATTGCATTTGTCATGTTATTTAGGTCCAACAAACCTTCTTGACTTTGCAATATTTGCTTAATGGTTTGTCTAGTTTAGCTAAACAAGACAAATAAATAGTAGTAGAAATATATTTTTCTAATTTCTTGTTTACCTTGACGAAATTTGTTAATTAAGGTCTTTATGGTAATCATATCGAACTCTAACCTTGCTGGCTTTTAGTTGTATCACAAAGGCAATAAGTTACAAGAACATATATTAGTTAAAGTACTTCATTAATATATATAAAAGCATTTTAGCCAAAATAGTCTCTGAGATTAACATAATTAACTCATTTTTTTGGTCCCTGAGATTTGAAATTAATAGGAGTGGCTCCTGAGTTTGTCTACATCAACACTTTGGTTGTTTTATGAAAATC